TGCGCCCAGGGGAGGGGCTGCCCATGCGTCCTGCGCCTGGAGCCGGCACCATGCATGTGCCGTGCGCCGGGGGCAGGGCTAGCCCAGATGTTTCAGCGGGTGCCCAGAAATCCCCCGGCGGGCACCGCGTAGGGGACCACGGCTGTAGGCCTTCTGGGGGTGGAGCATTGCTGCCCCCAGCACCTTTCTTCCCCCTGATGCGGAGCCAGGGAGGCTGAGGCATGCAGGTATTCACCCCATTCCTTCCCTGAGATGGGAGAGGGGGTCACATGCTTGCATGTCCCGCCTCGTCTCCTCCCCATGGTGGGGGGCAGGACCTCAGCTCAGGTGGCAGATACATTTGGGCTGTATATAAGATCAGAACAGCCATACTGGGTCAGACCAATGGCCCATCTAGCCACATATCCTGTCTTCTGACAGTGGCCAATGCCAGGGGCTTCAGAAGGCATGAACAGAAGAGACAATCATCAAATAATCCATCCCTCATTGCCCATTCCCAGCTTCTGGCACCATCTCTGTCCATTCTGGCTAGTAGCCGTTGACGGACCTATTTTCCTTTCACTTATTTTGCTCTTATTGGAACCCTGTTATAGTTTGGGCTTTTCCACCATCTCCTGGCAAAGAGTTTCACAGGTTGACTGTGAAGAAATAATTTGTTTTAAATCTGCTGCTTATGCATTTAATTGGGTGAACTTCTTGTGTTATGTCAGTGAAGGAGTAAATAACATTTCCTTATTCTATTTTCCCACACCATTCATGATTTTCTAGACTTCTAACATATCCCCCCCTTTAGTCATTTCTTTTCCAAGCTGAAAAGTCTCAATCTTGTTAAATTCTCATCATATGAAAGCTGTTCCTTACTCCATATCACTTCTGTTGGCCTTTCTCTACCTTTTCCAAATCCAATATATATTTTTAGATGGGGCGACCAAATCTGCATACAGTATTCAAGGTGTGGACATATCATGACATTATATAGAGGCAATATGATTTTTTTTGTCTTATCTATTCCTTCCTAATGATTCCAAATATTCTGTTAGTTTTCAGACTGCCACTGCACACTGAGCAGACGTGTTCAGGGAACGATACACAATGATTCTCTTCCTTGAATTGTAACAGCTATTTTAGAACCCATCATTTTTGCATGTATAGTTGGGATTATATTTTTCCAGGTGCATTACATGGCGTTTATCGACACTGAATTCCATCTGCCCTTGTGTTGCCCAATCACCCAGTTATGTGGGATTCCTTTGTAACTCTTTGCAGTCAGCCTTGGACTTAACTATTTTGAGTAATTTTGTAGTATCTGCAAATTTTGCCATCTCACTATTTACCCCCTTTTCAATAACATTTATAAATGTAACAGTACTGGTCTAAATGCAAATCCCAGCAGCAGAACACTCTTTGCTACTCTTCCCTCCCCTGCAACTTTTACATACCTGGCAATGTTTTCATGATGATTCAAGGATCCTTCAATTACTTGACTGGCCAGTCCTTTGTTGTTCTTGATCACCTGGCTCCCTCTTGTTTTAACAAACTCCCTGCCCTAAAGGCAAAGCTGCAAACAGCTCAAACTCTGTTGCATTTAAAACTGCCTCTGGAGTCAGGGCATGCAGCTTTAAGCAGATGGTAAGTATGAAATCCAGTGGTTCAGACTTCAGGGAACTACTGCCCCCAGCCCCCTTAAATGGCATTCTGGGGCGGGGGGGCAGCTGGGGGGAGAGCCGGGGGCTGGAAGGGCGGGGGGGAAGAGCCCTGGGCAGGAAGAGCTGAGGGGGAAGAGCAGGGATGGGGCACCAGTGGGGGGAGGTGGGCTGCAGGTCTGGAGTGAGTGACTGTGGTGAAGCTCGGGAGGAGCATGTGGGGCAGAGCTGGGACAGCAAGGAGCTGCAGGTTGGGCATAAGAGGCACCATTCCTGTCCCTCACCCCACTGACTCTCTCCTCCCAGGCTATGGCCATACGGTGCCCCTGTCGGATGGGGGGAAGGTATTCTGCATCCTCTCTCCCCTGCTGGGGCTCCCAGCCTCCCTGCTCCTGGCCACCTGTCTCCTGCAGCCACTGATGGAGCTGTTAAGCCACCGGCCTGTGCGGTATCTCCACACCCACTGGGGCATCTCACCAGGCCATGCTGCACTGGGCCACGCAACTGCCATGGGACTGTGTGTGCTGGGGCTTTTTATCCTGCTCCCAGCCCTCTGCTTCTGGGCCCTGGAGAACGGCTGGACCTTCCTGGAGTCCGTTTACTTCTGCTTCATCTCACTTAGCACCATTGGGCTTGGGGACTACGTGCCAGGTCACAGCAGCCACCCCTCGCTGCGCCATCTCTACAAAATCAGCATCACCTGTGAGCCATTCTCCGGGCAGCCG